ACATATCCACAGGTGCACACGTACAGGTATGAGCAGTGCAGGTGTGAGTGTGCGTGTGCACATGTCAATGTCCACATACACGTCCATATGCACACGTATGGATACACACATACACCCTTGTCACACGGGGCCACAATAACCACAGGTGCACACGTACAGGTGTGAGCAGTGCATGTGTAAGTGTGCATGTCCACGCACATGTAGAGGGACACGTGTGCACGTGTCCATGGCCAGATACACGTCCATATGCACAAGTACAGATACACACATACTTATGTCACATGGACACCCTACTTCTCCTTAGGCCCCCCAGATCCATAGGCCCACAGTCCCCACCAGCACCAGAGGTGCTGACACAGCCTTGAGAGACTCTGCGTAGGAGAGGACTTTCCAGAGAGGAGCGACAGGCAGGAGGTGCAGCCGCTGTGCACAAGGGCGAGGCTCAGTGAGACAGGTGTGGAAAGGTCCTCGCGCCGTGAGAGCCCCGATGCAGAGGGCTGAGGACAGGACCCTCACCCCGGGGTCATAACACCTGGTGACAGGGATGTGACCCTGACCCTGGGATTGTGACACCAGTGATGGGAACAGGACCCCCATTCAGGGGCCGGGACGGTCCCAACTGAGAGGGGCAAGTGGAGAGAATGGTGTGGCCGCCCTGACCCAACCTTGACCTGGAGAACTGGAGGAAACCCCAGCCCGCCAACCCCATAGGAACAGTGGGGGCCTCTGTGCTTTGCCCACTAAGTCCATGATGCCCCAGGTGATCACAGATGGGCCCGTTTCCCACCTGTCTTGGCTTTCAGGAGCTGCTGGGAAGCAGGAAGGCATGTCTGTCTCGGAAGAAGACGGGCTGAGGCTCGGCCCGCGGGGCCAGCAAACATCCCCAGGCCAAGAAGAACCCCACATCCCTGTCCTGGGGCTGCAGAGCTCAAGGCGACATCCTTCCTGGAACCCCTGGCTTCTCCACCTGCCCTCAGGGCTGTGACCGCAGAGGTGAACCTGCCCCCATGCTTCTCCTGCCAACACCTCTGGCCCCTGCTCCCCCATCCCTGTGGGCTGTGCACCCCTCCTGGCCACAGTTCCTGACCTCCATGCCCCCCACAGGAGACCCCAAGCTCAGGCAGAAGTGTGGCCCAGCCACAGTGTTTAAAAGCCTCCCTGCTGGGGCGCCTGGGTGGCGCAGTCGGTTAAGCGTCCGACTTCAGCCAGGTCACGATCTCGCGGTCCGTGAGTTCGAGCCCCGCGTCGGGCTCTGGGCTGATGGCTCAGAGCCTGGAGCCTGCTTCCGATTCTGTGTCTCCCTCTCTCTCTGCCCCTCCCCCGTTCATGCTCTGTCTCTGTCTGTCCCAAAAATAAATAAACGTTGAAAAAAAAAATTTTTTTTTAATAAATAAATAAATAAAATAAATAAAAGCCTCCCTGCCAAGGCAAGGAAATGCTTTAAATGATGGCAGCCCACAGGTGAAGTGTCACACTCCACAGCCACTGGCCACACAATGCTTTCCGCTTTCCAGAAGTCTTGAGGGTACAGGGAATGCTCCGAGTATAATGTGCCTGTACACGCACCTGCGGCATGACCCCAGTGACCGAGATCGGGGTGGGGGAGGAGTATCTATGCATATGGGGGGGGGGGCAGGAAATAGATACATAGATAGACACATAGATAGATGATTGATAGATAGATGATAGACGACAGAGATGTCTGCACAGGGAACACCTGGATGACGTGGAACCAGACCGGTAACGAGAGACCTCCAGGATGTGGATCTTGTGAGTTTTGTTTCCTTCTCTGTGTTTTTCTGGATTGTCCGAGCTTCCTGCAATGCATGTGTTGTTTATCTGATGGGAAATATTGGAGGTTGTCTCCTCCACAACCTGAATTGCATCACAGAAACTCTCCAGATTTGGTGGCACCTTTGGTACCAGTGGCCTCGTGCAGTCCCGAGGACCCAGGAGAGCCCAGGAGAGCAGGGAAAGGTCCTCCGGGATGAGGGCAGAGCCCGAGCCCCCTGCATACCCCCTCCGGGTGCTCTGGGCAGCAGGTGGGCCGGGAGGCGCCACCACCCACCGCAGGGAGGAAGCATGAGCTGCTGTAGGCCTGCACCTGGCAGAGCTGGGGACCCACATGAGCACAGGGGCTCAAACGTCCCTCTGAGGAGGGACCCTCGTGCCACACCCCTGCTTGGACTCCACCCCCCAGGGGAGAGGGTCACCTAAGGTGTGAGGTCACTGGCCACTGCGTGGGCAACCGTCTGGGAGGGAGGCCTGATGTAGTCCCCTCCCCATGGGAGCCCAGACTGGGGACACACTGATCAGGGGGATGGACATGAGCCCTGACACAGGGAGTTCATTCTGGAGGAACAGACACCCAAGGAGCAGCCAGGACCAGTCACAGTGTGTCAAGGAAGTG